CTCCTTTCCTTTTCAGTTTGCTCATTTTAATATGAAATGTGACTCTGCATATTGGCGGTCTAGATTGTAACATTTTTAACCTAAAAATATAGTACGTGTTTTCATAACTCACGGCGCGACGAATTGATGCTGTTTTTTAATCCAGACAAAATTCAAACGCTTATGTAACGTACCAGACTATTTCTCAGGCACCAGACTATTTCTCATTTGCATACGTTTTCAAAAATCTTGCACATGCAAATGATCCAATACCAGGGCGAGAGAGCTGGTAGTGGTGGCTCGTATTGCTCGACACCCTGGGGACAAGGTTGGTTTGGGCAGACACTCAGTCATCGAAGAGAATCCCGATTTGGGTCAAGTCTAGGAGTACAGTTGATCGGTTGCGCCGTTGTTACCTTTCGTGGCGTCGCCGTCTGGTTTCGGCATTTGCCGCGCAGTATCTTCTCTGCTTTGTTCAATCCGTATTCGTACTATGCTTCGTTATAATTCAATCCATACATATATGGCCTTAGCTTATATAGGGCGCCCTCAACTGGTTGCCGTTCCGCGATAAGGGGTCAACGTGTGATGTCATCAATGTCAGTGCAGTGAGTCCTCGATCCATAGCGGCGCATGAGGGCGCTACTGATGATCGGGGACGGCGCACATGGGTGCACGCCTGTAAATAGGCCAACAATCCTTCCACCGAGCTCATGAATAAAAGTTATAACCTCAAAAAATTCTATATTGGAGAGTTTTGAGAGCCATACAATTGGGGAATTGAAGAGATATGGTAATGAACCTGTGGCCCGGACCTGCATGGGGCTTCCAATTCTGAGCATTTTGGATGCTATTGGGCTCGAACGTGGCGCTAGTTTGTCATGTTGTGGAGGGATCGTTTTTCAAGATGGCTACTTATCCGCTTTGGGGAAAATAGGGGTCGTCTTCTTTGGGTGAGAATATCTCGAAAAGTCAATGGTCAACCCACCAAAAATGAAAAGAAAATGAATGATGACACATTGATCATCATTTTTCTGTGAGAGTTCTGCGCAAAGTATGCGCATTTAGCACTAGTGAATATGTTGGGTTTTTTTTGCAGGGTTGCACCCACATACCCAATGTACACGGAACACGGACCATGATCAACGGCGCGGCATACAGGATCCCGACTTGGGTCAAGTCTAGGAGTACTGTTAATCGGTTGCGCCGTCGTAACGTCGTGGCGTCGCCGTCTGGCTTCGGCATTTTGACGCTCTGCAGTATCCGCAGTTGCAGTTTTGACGCGATTTGTTTTGTCGCAGCGCGCCTCCTAGGTTAGGACGCTTCATGGCGAAATGTTGGCGGCATTGAGGTGGCGTTTGATGACGTCCTTGTAGCGCGGCAATGACCTGCAGCCTGGCCGTCTGAGTGATTCCAGGAGCTCGCCACGGAGAGGAGGATCTTCAGCAGTCTGTGCTCAATGCGCACGACGTGCCCCGTCCAGCAAAGCTGCATATCCAGCAACGACATGTCCGCTTTATGCAGCACCTTTTCATGCTTTTTTCTAATGCCTTTTGGAGAATTTGGAAGCCCCTGATGTGCTTGTGCAGTTAAACATGGCCAATATTATTATTATTATTATTATTATTATGGTTTATTTATTTGAATTAAAAGCAGCCCAGAGGCTGAAAACATTCAAATTTACAACGGGTATTTTAGTTTAAAACTACTTAAAATACAATCAATACATCTTTAAATTGTAAATTGAAAGGTACAAATCATAACGGATGAAATTATTCATTATCATTAACAGACTTCTAAAGACTTGCTAAGACAAGATAATGCTGATTAAAACCGGAGGGTAAAACTATTTAAAATTATCATTAAAAAAGAGAGTGGATCACAGAGGCTATACTAATTATTGACAGATTACTAAAGACTTGCTTAGCTAGACAAAAAAATGCTGATTAAAACTGGAATGAAAAATTATTTAAAATTATCATTAAAAAAGACGTGGATTACAGAGGCATATAACGCTTATTATTTTAAAATTCTGGCCAGTGATGGGATGGTAGATTTCTTGTAGCGCTCAGTATACTACATGTATATGGTACACGCATAAGTCATGAATATACACCTTTAGAACACAAAAGTAATCAGTAGATACAAGAAGATCAATTATCAACAGCAATCAGAGGCCATTTGTTGCATTTTGTTGGGCCTAGACTTGATCAGATTGGATTCCGTTGTGTATAAGGAAGACGTCAAACTTGTGTTAGGATTAGGCCTACACTTCGTTACACACATTTAAACTGCCATGACTGATGCTACATCATTTTAGCTTACAGGTTAAGCTTAGCCTGTATTCAAAGGGCATGACTAGGTTTTTGATAGATGGTCTGGATTATGTCGAAGCAATATGGGTTTTCAAGAATAAAATTTCATTAGTGAAGTTTACTTGGAATCGAATCATGCTGCCTTTGTCAATTTTGAAGTTTTTTACAAATGCTAACCTGTTTGTCATTTATTGCCGTAATGCAAGCAAATATTCATTTTCTTCCACAGCAAAGTCCGTACATTACTAAAGCAGACCTTAATACAGGCATACAGTCTAATACTTCCTGAATATGATCTCAGGCTTTTAAGCAGAGCTTGGTGAAAAGAGTTGGAGAATGGTGGAATCAATTCATCACCGATACCACGAAGAAACACTGCACGTGTTAAACCATTTTTTTTTTTCGGTTTTCAGTATTTTACATTTGTAAACATTATTCATCAAAGCCTACCATTGCAAGAAGTTTCAAAGTTTCAAGTAGGCCATTAGCCTCGGTCCAAAATTGTGGCAACCGATATCAAAAGAGGGGAATAATCGTTATATCGATTTTTGGCAAGGTATACACCTCCAGAGTTGGAAAATATGTGATAGCCATGCAGCGGTGGCAGCTTTTTGGGTGTTATCACCTTTTTATTCAAAATGTCCATCAAAATGCTTGTTACCACTCTAGGGTGGTATACCTTGCGCATGCGCACTATAATCATTTATGCCCTGATTTGATACTGACCAAACCCCCAAGCTGATGGCCTAAAGAGCTTTACTTTGATAAATACCCTAATTATCCATGGCGAAAGTGACAATTTTCGTTTTCACGAAGCAACACTCAAGTTCAATTTACCATTGTAATGCATGGCGCGCACTGTACTCAAATGCGAGCAAAAACGCTTCCACAAAGTAACACTCTCCTTATTTGAGCGCGCGCGGTGACCCCCGTTTCCACAAAGTAACACTCTCATATAGTGTTGTAATACATTGAAGCGTGCTACTTCGTGAAAACGAAAATTTACAGTTTCGCAGATTTTTTTTTGGTTTTACGAACCAACACTCAACCTTTTTTTAGCTGTTTCGGTTACACACCGAAACAGCTCTTGTTTTCGTTAAGATTTTTTTTTTTCTTTTTTCTTTTTTTTTTTTTTTTTTTTTTTTTTTCTTCTCCTTTTTCAGACTTTTTCTCCATAGGTTTAGCACACGTTTCTTCTACCAGTCCACTTTGGCACTTTTTGAAATCCGATTGATTTCAAACTTGGTACATACTTAGACCACCACCCACAGATGGTCCTAGAAGAAATTTGTGATCGTGACGTCATCAGGTGTCAGGTTACATTACATTAAAGATGCATTTTTCCCCATATGTTTTGTACACGTTTTAAAACACTCCAGTTTGGCATCTTCGTAAATCCGATCGACTTTAAACTTAATTCATACTTAGACCACCACCCACAGATGGTTCTAGACGAAATTCGTGATCGTGACGTCATCAAGTGTCAGGTTACGTCACATTAAAGATGCATTTTTCCCCATAGGGTTTGTACCGGTACATGTATTAAAACGCTCCATTTCGGCACTTTTGTAAATCCGATCGACGTTACACTTGGTACACACTTAGACCATCACCCACAGATGGTTCTTGAAGAAATTCGTGATCGTGACGTCATCAGGTGTCACGTTACTTCACATTAAAGATGCACATTTTCCCTATATGTTTCGTACACGTTTTAAAACACTCCACCTTGGCACCTTCATAAATGCGATCGACCTCAGACGTAATACATACTTAGACCACCACCCACAGATGGTCCATTGTGATCGTGGCGTCATCAGGTGTTGGGTTACGTCACATTAAAGATGCGTTTTTCCCCATATGTTTTGTACACATTTTAAAACACTCCACTTTGGCACCTTCGTAAATCCGATCGACCTCAGTCTTGATACATACTTAGACCACCACCCACAGATGGTCCTAGAAGAAATTTGGGATCGTGACGTCATCAGGTGTTTGGTTACATCACATTATAGGCCTATATTTACAGACCTACATGTTCGATTTGGTTATAACTTGACATGTACATATAATGTGCTGTTATAGATGACATTTTTAGTGACGTCACTGATTGTTTATGACGTGCACAGAGTATTTCGAATATCCGAAACAGCTTGTGTTTGTCCACAAACTCATCTCTAGTCTGTTATTTTTCTTGTTTTAATATTCAAACGGGTCAAAAACAGCAAATTTAATAACATCAATACATTAAGTGTCCACAACGAAAAACGCAACTAAAGATACTGTGCAGTTTTGACGCAAAGTGTTGTTTCAGAAGGCGTTTAACTTGAGATGCCGTTTTCTCCGATTGCTAGTTTTTACTGGTATGTACATGAGTGTTACTTCGTGGTGTCGGTGACGATTTTTTTAAGGAAAATGTAGGAAACCTTGAATGCCTACGATTGCTAATTTTACTTTGGGCAAAATACTGTGGCGGGGATCTCCTCGGGCCAAACCTAAGTTCGTTGGGACCAAGTCTGACACCTATTATAGTGTAGTTGATCTTCCCAAACCCAAGCTTTCCCAAGATGAGAGACCGCTCAGAGCGACCTCAGGGCTTAGGGAGCAGGTCCATTTGGAGGAAATATACCGCCGATTATGATGATTGTGATTACCCTCAGTTAATTGCATAATAAACGGACAACAGATGCACCTGGACAACAGGAATGTCGGCACAACAAATATGATCGTAATTTATTATACAATAATCAAGAAATATGCAGTGGTGATTGAGTTTTAATGAGGCTGTTAATTATCAGGGACACTTAATTACACTTGGGAGTTGACTGACAGCTCAACTAAGCAGCAACGCGCACAGATTGAACAATGCGCCCAATGTAAACAATGCACTGCTAAGACAACAATGTACACTAATGTAAACAATGCACGGCTAATAAGTCAACAATGTACACTAATGTAAACAATGTACACTAAGTCAACAACGTACACTAACGTAAACAATGCACACCAAGTCAACAACGTTACATATGTAAGTAATACACACCAATGTAAATAACACACGTCAATGCAAGTAACGTACGCCAATGTAAGTAGTGTACGCCAATGTAAATAACACACGCCAATGTAAGTAGTGTACGCCAATGTAAATAACACACGCCAATGTAAGTAATGCACGCCAATGTAAGTAATACACGCTAAATGTGTTAAGTTTTAACTTGAAAAGAATAAAATGAGTACCCAATTTCCCTGCAGCTCCATGATGTATTAATTGAGGAAAGGGTTGTAGAAGCATGCAACAGAAGGGTAATGTGTGGGATTCCTTTGACGTTGAAGTTTTTTTGTGTATAATTTATTCATTGTGATAATTAATTCAATAACATTGTAGCATTATCAAAGTCATTCCCATCGATCCTGTCATTTAATTGTCATCACCATTTCATCCCACAATCACCAACATCACTATACCCATCTCCTTGATGAAAATGACATGTTTGAATGATCATTCTCCTTCCATGTAAGATGTCATCAATTGTCCTAGGCAAACTGTTACTGTTGTTGTTAAATATCTTGTTGCACAAAATGAAATGCTTTAGCTCAAACTTTTTACAATAACAATGCTATGGAAAAAAATATTCAAGTTGAGATACATCGTTTTGCCACTAAATGCAATGAATTTCAATAATTAAATGCAAGATACATACGTTTTCCCACACAACTGTAGTGGCATTAAATCATGTAACTTATGGATAAAACGCTTTGCCATATATATATTGTGTAATGGAAATTACATGTTATTTGAAATACACTATTTTGCCATTAAAATATTAAATATCTAGCAACAGAATGTAAGTGCAAGAAATTCATCATATTAAAAAAACAACAAAAAACCAAGGATTTTTGCACAAAGTTTGCAAGAAATAAGACAAAAATGATCTGCTTGGTCATGCATTATTCCATCTCCATGAACATCACAGAGAACCAAACTGTGTAGTTTTCAACGCTTCAACCTCCATGGCCTATGTTTGTGCAAACGTGTTATCTCTTAAGGTATTTGACCAAAACAATGCCCGAGAATTCACCTGCTAAATCTGCCTCCGTTGCCATGACACCCCCTTCGTACACCCACTCCCATCCTGGGTACAGTGTGTTGCCTGGCCAACTGACAAATATCGGACCACCATTGACCGACGTGTTGGTGTGGAGCAGGTTTGCTCCCAGTGTGTGTAGCGGTTCCTTGAAGATGGACCAAGATCGCTTGATGAAGACTTCTTTGCAACGGGGATAGGTGCTTAAGAACAGTTCTTTGTATCCCTGCTCTCTCGCAAGATACTCTACTCTCAGAGTGCCCAATTCACCGATGCCATTCCTTCTCTTTTCAACATCAATGCAGAAGCCCTCGGCGTAAACCGCCCCCTGTCGGTTTGTGACTGGGAGAAATCGGACATGACCCACCAGAGTTTCTTCATCGCGTTTGTCGTCTGGGTGCTCGACCAGTCCGTACGAGCAAGGTGCAGGGTTCAGTTCATGCTTGGCAAGTTCCGGTAGAAGGTCTGCCTTGCAATTCGGATACTCGGCTCTTAAGATGGAAACACAACTGGGGATGAGGTAACGAATGGAGTGCAGAGGTTTCCATGTGTACAAAAGCGCCATTTGACGTCTCGCTCCAACCGGATTACAACTCTGCAAAACATTTTCAAAACAGATTTTTAAAACATTCACTGCAATATGTCAGATTTGTTTTGGACTTTTGGGGGGGGGGGGGGGGGGTGTGGGGAGGGAGGAGGGGGGGGACGAGGGGGGGGGAAAGAAGATATCCAACTCATTAAGTGGATGGAATGGTTTTGATGGCAGTACCTAAAATAAATGATGCTTCATGCATATTTTTTTTAATGACTTGGATAAAGTACCAAGTAATAGAGTACCAAAAATATGTATCACCATGCTAACCATGGTTATGTTGTGGTTACCATGGTATATCGATATTAAAGCCATGGTATTAAAAACACGTGGTTTTTACATATGAAATGATTGTGAAACGATGATACCACGGTTGCATTATGGTGTTGACAGTAAAATGATAGTTACCGTGGTTTTACCAAATGGTTTGACAATGGTTTGTACTTATGAAATCATGTAACTATTGCGAATTGGTGGTTATCATGCTTTCTAGATTGCCAAGTTTATGGCATTTTTGGCAAACATGAACAATTGAACATGCGGTTTAGGTTGTTGAATGACTGAATCAAAAAACCGCCAGACAACATCATGTCAATGATCCTAAAATATCAAGCAGCAGCGTATCCAGCTTTTGATGTCGGTGGGGTTGGGGGGGGGCAAACGCACATCCGCGCCGAAACCTAGACATGTTGTTTTTCTCCGGACTTATTCCTCCATGCTTGACCTCCGTAAAATAAAAAAAAGCCGGGGGGGGGGCTGGTATACCCATCTTCCAAATGGGGCTGCTCTTCAAAACTGATCATTATTATGCATACTACATATTTTAAGGGCATTTTTACGGCGCATTGCAATGGTTGTTGAGCGGGTTTATTTGGTGGGATTGATGTCAGAAGAACTCTATAAACATTTACTTAAATCATTGCTGACAAAAAAAGTTGGCTTTTTGAATTGGCTGGTCATTGGCCCGTTTAAGGCTTGCACAGCAGCGCAGAACTGGGCCAGTACATGATACCAAAATCAAACCTGTACTGGACAGATTCTGGGCCAATACATTATGCCAGAATCGGTCCAGTACTGAGACGGCATTGATCCAGAACTGGGCCAGCATTGTTCCAGAAATGGGCCAGTACCACATCATATATAGCCACAATTTGACAATTTTGTGTCCGTGAATACAATTAAATATGTACATGGACATGACGGGGTTAAAATAAAGTACGAGTGTGAAAGAATTTACTTCAACATGTTGCTTCAAAATGTGTAGTGAGTATGTTTTAGTTTCTTTGCACGAAATGACAGTTGGTTGCTTCAGATACACACATACCTAGCTCCTTTATTCGTCTGAAAAATTTGAAGTACTCCGGAAAGATCCACAATCTTCTGACTCTGTATGCGGCTCGCCTTTCCCCAACTAGTGTGTAAGAATTGCTGAATGGGAATTTATGCTAATCAGTCCATAACCACGATCAGCTGAAAGCACTCTTGATGACCTGGTGGATAAAATACACGTAGGCCTCTGCATAGAGCATGTGCTAGTGCTAGCTAGGATGGCTCCTGGCAGTATTCCAGAACACCAACAGCTGCACGTACATGTACATTGGTCATTGTTTACTTTGGCCAACTGTGTTATCACTATATGCATCGTGCAGTCGGTCCTCGATCTGTGCGTGTGAAGTACTGACCTTTAACAGTAGCCTACATTTGGTGTACCGGTGTCGACGTTGTCCCAGCAAAAGATCACTGAACGCTTCAGTAATTTAGAAGTGTCTCGTGTCCGTATAGTCCGTGTGTATTGTCCGGGCCGTCCTATACGTTTTTGCATGTAGATTGTAAATACTGTTGCGTTCCCTAATAGCAGTTCGTGAAACATTTATTAGAGTCAACAATAATTCAATAAGTTGGAGGGAAACAGAGCTTTGGGGTGACAGTCACACATGTCAATACACTGATTTATTCATCTCTTCACTTTACATAACTTTGTTAGATTTCATCAACCTATAGGGTTTCTCCTTTTGGTAGTCTTTGGTAGCGTTATAGAGATAACAGGTTGGCGTCTACAAAGTCTATACATGTACTATGTACAATGGCAAAACCATGTCAACCAATACGAACTGAGTGGGCACCGGCACGGTACGGGTTATCGACGGTCAGACCGAAGCGGGAGCGGTCCGCTACGGTGACCGGGAGGCAACGGTAACTGGACGGGGCCAGCAAGTGTACCAGGCCGCACTACAGTTCGAACCAAAGTGTGCATGTGGCGTATCGGGTATCCAAGGTCAATCGAGGCACTATGCACCAAGGATAGTGTTTATGACAAGACCGGGCTAGCATAGCTGAACTACGGGGGGAATGGCTACGGGGAGTCGGCTGACCACAGCGGGAGCGGTCCGCTGTGGTGACGGGGATGAACTAGCCCGACTGCGTCTGGCCGTACAGTACTATCGCAAGCTCTGTAGTACGGCCAGACGCCCGATGCTTCCACAGAGACTGAATTTTGTTGGCCGCCGATGTAGCGATTTTGCTACATCTTTCGATCGCGATTATCTTTTCATCCAGGATACAAATTTCCAAAGTTAAGGTTTGTAGTCGTAGAGCAACTCATACCTTTTCGAAAAAAAAACGTTCTTTGGTCTCAATATTTTCATCCATCTGGCCACAAGACGAATTTCAGTCATCAGATTCCACAAATATCGTCCCCCATGCGATCCCCCATGCGATTTCAAAATGGCGGCCGCGCTGTAATGTATGCAATATGCAGGCGCGCCCGCGCAAGCTCATGAATATGCATAATTAGTCTGTGAGGTATGACCTCGTGTTTTTGGACGTGCGTGCAGCGGGGCCGTACGGTCATACGTCACAGACTAATTATGCATATTCAAGAGTTTGCGCGGGCGCGCCTGCATATTGCATACATTACTGCGCGGCCGCCATTTTGAAATCGCATGGGGGATCGCATGGGGGACGATATTTGTGGAATCTGATGACTGAAATTCGTCTTGTGGCCAGATGGATGAAAATATTGAGACCAAAGAACGTTTTTTCGAAAAGGTATGAGTTGCTCTACGACTACAAACTTTAACTTTGGAAATTTGTATCCTGGATGAAAAGATAATCGCGATCGAAAGATGTAGCAAATTCGCTACATCGGCGGCCAACAAAATTCAGTCTCTGTGGAAGCATCGGGCGTCTGGCCGTACTACAGAGCTTGCGATAGTACTGTACGGCCAGACGCAGTCGGGCTAGGGATGAACTAGCTCTGGCTGGGCTAGAACACCAGACAACCGCACAACATGTTCAAGCTAAGACTAGCAGTCCAATGGCCATTCGAAACCGCACAGCACCATTGGGACTAGTGTATTACTATTTCACCAGCTTCTACACACTCTTCGAGGGATTTAGGAGAAGGATGCTTCATAATAACACTAGTACTAGTGATTGCACTATTACTTCACCGCGCCTCAACCACCGAGGGAGGCCGATACTTCGTAGTGACTAGAGTCGCACAACAATCGGTCTGTCAGAGTCGAGTTCGTCCCACATCATACGATTTACCGCACAACATATAAGTTCGCCGCACAACTTTGGGTTTAGGGTTCGTTCGCACTACATTGGTTTCGTGGTTCGCCGCACTGCCGAAAGTAAGGAAAACCTCCGGTATTTATAGGCAGTAAAAGTCTCGGGATTAAATAATGCATGAGCACTGATTTAGAAATTAACCAATAGTAATCTTCCATGTCTAAGGGTCACATGACTAGGCACACGGCTTACTAAGAGTGCCTAGTGCAAGAGACTAGAAACGTGTGCATTTACATGAGGGAAAACATGGAGAGAGAAGTGTGCAAATACAGAGAGAGATGTGTGCAAATAGTTAGATCAGAGTGCAAAAGTGTTTACACAACATCTCGAGCAACCTTGATGGAGTGAGTGACAAGCTAAAAGGTTACTGTGTCACAGGTTATTTACATCACAGGATGTCTTACCACGCCCAGCTACGCGACCACGCAAGGGTAACATTCCATTCCCTCGAGCTAAGTACGGGACTAGAAAACTGGACCGAGAACTCCAGTTAGTGTTCATGGGTAACACACGGGGGAGAGAAACGCTCCGTGCCGCTGAGCAGTCTCTCGGAGAACGCCAAAGCACGCATGCTATGGGGAAAGGAACTTAGCTCGCTGGGGCGAAGGGAGGTGTGGTCAGTCGCGCACATGTACATCGCTACATGAATAATGCATACAGTAGCGCGCGTGGTATTGCATCATGCGCTGTGCTTGGTAAGAGACCCTGGGAATAAAAGTGCAAGTTGGCAATTTACGATAATTAGGTAAAATAAGGGAACAGCAAAAGACAACAATAAGATTGTGTACTTCATGGACAGAGTGAATCCAGAGGGCGCTAGATTTCCATATTCAAGCATTCTGGGTTCGTAACAATACTAATAAATAATGCATGTTAACTCGTAAATATTCATGTTGCCATGGTCTGGCCTTTTATGTTGTTTGGGCGTTTTTAGGTTCTTTGTTTAGCCTGATACATGAAGTCATGTGACGCGAAAGCCGCGCGTTTTGAAAAACCCAGTAAAAAGGAGAAGAGCTCCAACGCCGATCGCCATCAAAATTATGGCAAAATATTATTGCAAGCTTGCATGAAAATTAATAGATCCGCCGATGACCAGGTCTTGAACCTTCGGTGGACTCCTGGAGCTAATTCTGACATCTCTGCCAGCAGACCGTAAGTTTGAGCTAATTTTTTTACTATTTTCTCAAAGAATTTGTGTTTGGCTTACTCTGTTAATTCAATGGCAGTTATCGTTTAATCATTGCTCCTTGATAAGGTACAGGTACTTGATTTTATATAATGTACCCACAACCTTGATTTAGCCTTAATTAAGTGATTACATGTATTATAATGCTAAGCTCTTAATTCGTAGTAATGGCAGGTAATCGATTATAATTTGATCTTTAAGGGTGTATCAACTCTTAAATATTACTAAAATATTACAGATGGCAACTTGGCCTTGCTAGCTAGACGCCATCCCTGACCGTCCAGGCTACGCGAGACAGAGTCTGCGACAGGCCCTATCCCTATCTGGTGAGGAGACCGTCCGTCGTGCGAGGCAGACAGGCCCCTCGACAGGACAGTTAACAGCGCTGACAGAGCTACTGGTGTCCACAGAACCACACACCTACACAGAGGTTGCGCATAATAGCTGGGACAACGACGGTCAAGTTCTAGTGAGGATATCACAGACTCCCACATTTCAGGCGGGCCCATTTAATATATTGCCGGCTTAGTTTATGATAATTCATTGTTTATTTTATTAATAAGTTACTATAGGTTGTCTTATTAAGATTTATTAGATTAGGATTAAGTTATCATTCGATAAATTATCTAATTCCTATAGGCCCTAACGTATATCGTTTCATTAAGTTTTCCTGAATTAGAATTAATTTATTGTTCCATCAATTAACAGTCGCCTCCCCCCCCCCCCCACTGACATTTTGAGTTTCTAAAAAAATTGTCATTGATCTACATGACGCCCCCATTAAATGTTCCAGCCCCCCAGCCCCCCCCCCCCCTTCCCCCCCCCCCCCCTGAGAAATTCCTGGCTACGCCACTGCTTCTACGGAACACGTTAAAGAGCCTGAATTGGACCAATGCCGGTTCTTTTTTATCAAACCAATCTGGCGTGACAGTACAGAACCTAAATTGGGTCAGAGTCTTGCCGTTATGGCTTGTTGTACTAAGAGGGCTGGGAATGGCGCCATTCAGCTAGGCTCTGTATCTGACCACTGGGATATGTCGTATAATTACTCAGTTGTTTTCATTTGGAATAGCATTTAGGTCAAAAATGTTGCCTTTTTTTACTTTGTATTGAATTTCATGCTCCTCAGACAAATCTGGACTTTAATTGTGACCCTGGCGTTGATCAGCTAGTGACTGATTATGGAATGAATATTTCAACGATCGACTGAGGGATTTGTACGTTGGCAAAACAGCTTAAAGGTATAATTGAATTAGGCGGGAAACATTTGTCCTTGAAGAATGCATCACTCCTTTTCATAGACCTATTAGTTTCATAGTTCTTTGCATAGATCTTTATGGAACATGCACATGTACATGTGGGTACATGTACCGGTTGTCACAACTACCCCAGAAAACGGCTAATAAATTTTGGGATTGATTTTCCCACCCGCAAACTTCATAAACACTTCAAGAATTAAATGTCCAGAATTTTCTAAGGTTTTTACAAATTATTTAATATGTACAACTTCCTCTTCAGTATTTACATGTATTGTTGGGTATTTACAGAATAATATGTATAGAACGAATAACACTTAATTAATTCGTGGGTGGAGTCTTTAAACTAGAATTAAGTTAATCAATTAGCAGAACTTAGATCTCACAATAAATCCTACACTAAGCACTTCAACAATAATATAATAACTGGTTAATTGATGGAACAATAAATTAATTCTAATTCAGGAAAACTTAATGAAACGATATACGTTAGGGCCTATAGGAATTAGATAATTTATCGAATGATAACTTAATCCTAATCTAATAAATCTTAATAAGACAACCTATAGTAACTTATTAATAAAATAAACAATGAATTATCCTAAACTAAGCCGGCAATATATTAAATGGGCCCGCCTGAAATGTGGGAGTCTGTGAT